GCAGCAAGGAGGGAAATCAGGCTCTGAGCTGATGTGTCAAGGTTCAACGTCACCAGGTCTGCTTAGGAATGCAAAACATCAGCTCCGGAATGCGGAACATTGCCGTTCACTTTCGATCAAAACGGTGACAATTAATAAGAGCAGTCTGAAACTTCTGAAAATAAATCCAGTGTAATCAAACACTCACTGCTACACAAATTAGAAAAGGCAAGCTCAGAGCAGAATATAAACACATCATTTCTTCAGGAGGCTTTGAGTTCTCAGCTTGCTAAACTCAGAGTGACTACTTCTACACAAGCTGCTCTTCCACTCAGTCTCTGAAATTCTCTGCTGATAAAATACTTTTACTGGGTGCTGGCACACTGGCAGTGAGCAAACCCCAGCAGCTCTTCCACTGATTCTACTTGAGTAACTTTCTCTGCTTTACATCTTTGGGAAAGAGAGATTGATCTTACAAGGCAAAAATATAATATAAATGCCAATTATTGTCATAATCCAAGTCTTACAAAAGGGACTGACCTCTGACTAAGCACGGGGCTTGCAGCCAGATACTTCCGCATTCTACTCAAGGCACAGACTGATTCACACTGACACCTTATCTGTCTAACCCTAACCTTCCCCACTTCCAAAATCTGGGTTTCCTGCTATTGTTGCAATTCTACAGTAACAAGGCAGGAATTCAAACTCTGAGGCTGGATTCAAGGGCAGAATGAGGGATCAGTACGACTAACAGAGAGAAAAGCTGTAGTGGCAGCTGAGTGTTGAACCAGGGCCCAAAGCCCAAACCTGTGCCAAGAGCAAGGAGGAGCTCTTGGATTCAGGAGCCAAAGACTAAACTTTGGGTATATAAGCTCTGTAACAGAATCAGGGCAGGACTTGTGTGCTTGAGTTACAGCAAATCCTACCAACACACCAAAATACTGCCCTTAACCCACACAAAGAAAGACAATAAAACTGAGATGTGGGCCTGCCCTAGACTCTAGACTGGCCTCATCCCTGGAAGTGTTCCAGGACAGGTTGGATGGGGCTTGGAGCAACCTGTTCTAAGGGAAGGCATCCCTACCCATGGCAGGGGACGGAATGAGATGAACTCTGAGATCCCTTCCAACCCAAACCATTCTGGGATTCCATGGGAAGTCACATATTTTCAGCTGTCAAGATTACAGGGTATTACAGGCTGTCTTCTGCCTTCTCCATTTCCCTTCAGAATTTGACCAATCTTTTATTAAAATCCAGACAGAATCTCAGAATTCTTCTCCATAAATTCTGCCAGCTGGAGTATCTGGAGTACTTGAAATAAATCCTTCCAGAAAAGATCCCTGTGATGCAGGGAAGTAAAACTACACTCATTGTTGTGACCAAGAGCTCCCAGAACAGTTCTGGTCTTCTGACCAGTCAAAACAACTTGTTTGAAGTCACACAGGCACTTTGAAGAAGGCAGACCAAGTGCCTGGCCAAACTTTGAGTGTTTTCTCACCACACATACAGCCATCCTACATGGTCCATCTATAGCATCAGCTATGACAAGGTGTGGGACAAGTTTCAAGCAATGCCATCACCAGGATTTCCACCACCTCTCTTCCACACGTGAAGAAAAAGAGAGATTCTGAAGTGTTTCAAGCACCTTCATTCTCCCTCAGGATCTATCAGCAACAGTAACAATCAACACGCTTTCTTAAAAGAGGAATTTGTTACTTCAGAAAACTAAAATCCCAATCCAGTATGTATCTGAACCTCACCTATCCCTATTTTTGTGCTTAACTACAAAGCAAATTATTTTCAATAGGAATACAGTCTGCAAGTGTAGTTTTACTGGCACAGCCTTAGTGAAGACAGAGATTACACTTGGAGAGTAACTCAAGAATAGATAACAGTGTCTCCTTGAAGAAAATAAATCACAATGGCAAAAACATGGGCTTTTGGTCACAGCTGCTTCCACAGTAGAGTTTTATTTTAGTTAAAAGCATTTCAGAAAGAAACACATGTCCTAATTAATGCTCTTAAAGCAACAAGCATCTCTTTGTTAACCCAGACCTTAACTGGGCAAATTTCGTCTTGCATGACATAGAGAAGACCCAGTTTACATTCTACACTACCAAGGCCACCACTAACCTATGTCCTGAAGTGCCACATGCACACGGTTTTTAAATCCCTCCAGGAATGGGGACTCCACCCCTGTCCTGGGCAGGCTGTGCCAGGTCTGGACAGCTCTTTTGGGGAAGAAATTTTTCCACTGAACAAGATTTTTTTTCTTAAGGTCCCTTTCAGAGTAGCTTAGCTGCCTGTGAAATCATGAATTAACTCATCCGGTTTATCTTTAAAACCAAAGGCTCAGACAGGACATTGTTTCAGTCAAGGAAGCTTAAAAAGCCAACTGAATACTCCTACAGTCACCAACCATTTACATGATACCTTGTCAATGAAGACAAAAAGAGAAAATTAGCTGAGTCCTCTTTCACCCAAGTTTAATTAACGTGTTTCGTGTCACATTTCAAGGACACTGGACAGTTACACAGCTCAGCCCTGCGGTGGCTTTCTCAGCCACTGTCTGCTCTTCAGCATGTGCTGACTTTGGTAGCGTTCACATACTCATTCCTTTCTTTCTGTTGTTTTCCCTAAATGATGACAAGGCTTCAATCTAGCCCTTTTCCACCTGCATTACTCACCCTGATTTTCTCTGCACTCAGCAGGCCTTTACTCACTCCCCAGACAGCCTTGTCACTGCTGGCAGTCAGGTTCACAAGCACCAGCCTGATAATCTCGGTAAACTTTAAGTGATGACGTTGAAACTGTCTAGTTCTATCAGAAATCATACTTTGAGAGATGCAACACATACTGATGGTCATAGCTCACTATTAACACAGATTAATTAATCAATAATGCCATGAGACTGTGAAGTACAAGTAATTGCTTCCATTACATTTATGGGGAACCCAACAGAGATATATTTGTGTTGGCTACAGAAGGACTTAGTTTCAGATAAATGACTAATTATAGTGAGACCAAAATCAAGAGTTCTGTGCTCACACCATGCCTCAAACTCTCCCTGAGTACTGACTCTTCTCCCACTGTGGGTAAAAATGAGTTAACTGTAGCCAGCTGACCACTTGGCTGCTCTGACAGTAGGAGTAACCAAACTACTCTCTTACCACTGCAATTTTAAAACTGTTCAATCTTAATCTTATTCAGTATTTAAGTAGAAACTTTTTAAGGCTCCTTTTTCTTCTTTCCCCTTCATGATCCCACTTACTCTTTTTTAAAGATATCTATGGTTTCATCTGGAAACTTTATACCTAAATGGGTCATCTTGGCCCATTTCCTCTAATTTAATACCCTCTAATCCCCTCCAAATAGGTTCACCCTAGTTTTCCCTCAGTCAAAAAGTATTCACCTCTGCTTCTATTGCATTCTCAATGACTGTGTTAACCACACATACACTGGAAGGAATAGAAGAAGCTGCTACTGCTCTGCTGGGAGGTGGCAGCTGACTAACAGGGCAGAAAACTGCACAGGGGCAGAATGTGACTGCAGTTGAGCTAAGGCACAAGAAATTCTAACTGTGTAATTCCCAGCTTGGAAATTTATGGGAAAAGTCTGACATGACGTTAAAGCGGTCAGACTGTCCTTGTGCTCGGAGCACAGAGCAGCTCTGAGATCACTCTGCGAACTCCGAATTACCACTGCAATAAAGATGCACAGGGCAACATGGCCTTCTTCCTGCTGTGAACTAGATCTTTCCAACTGAAAGTGGTGATTTTAATACTGAAATCCAACATACTTCCAGCTAAAAGGAAGAAGAGGAGGTGGCCCAGGGGACTGGCAAAACAGTCGGAAACCACCAGTTTTGAACAGAAGACTAAGCCACCAGCAATAGAAAATAACTAACTAATAGTTATATCAAGACGTCTTTTTGAAATCCCTTGGAGTTTGGTTTCCAACACAAAATCCCTGGCAGCCACTTTTGCTGTGATTCCCTCTACAGAAGTCTGTGACTGCACTGCCATTTGCACTAGGAAGGCCCATGCAAGGATAAATCTTCATCCTTGAAATAATCCATCTGGGAAAATGTGACCGCATTCACAGCAGCCCAGTTCCTTGCCAGCTGTTCTGCAGAGAGGGTTTCTCTTTCCAGTTCAGTCTGACAGAAGATACAATCAAAAGTCAAGAGGTCAAAGTACCTCAGGAATCTGATTGCTAGTAGACAATGGTCGTGCCTCTAACAGAGGTATGGGGAACAGAGACAGAGGACTGGGCAGGGAGAGATGAGTGACAGCACAGTGCAGGTCAAGCCTTTCCTTTCAGCCTGACAAGCTTCAGACTTGGAATTCATTTACTTATTTATTAAAGAAACTGTATGGATACCAATTACAGTGAAGATTCATGACAGAAATAATTTAAAAGAACAAAAAAATTGGCTCAAATTCAACAATGAGGTTTAGACTACTTCAATTCACACTGGTATTCAAGATACTTGGATTGCTTGAACCAACACATCTAATTCTAAGGTCAGGTGAGGTGCACCAGGTTTTCTGCCTTTGCCATACAATACTCAGTTGATGGTGTACTCATCCCTTTCACCAAGTCTCGAGTGGTGCTAAACTCTCTTGCACAGCTCTGGTATCCCTCTAGTATGTTCAATAGGTGTATGGAGATCTCTCTTTCAATACTAATTTTCCTCTGATCAAGACTGAGATTCTAAGAATTGTATGATGTTCCCTCTATTTCAATGACAGAAGACTACAAGTAGAAACAGTACATCAGTCAGATCAAGTGAGGAATTAAATGTTACTTTTCCCTGGTTTAAATATCTCCAGTTTTCACTATTCTGTGGCTGAAATGTCTTCCCTGATTTAAATGTTCCACCAAACCATCAAACTCTTCGATTCAGGCAACTGCTAATAATAATTTTAGCCATTTCTCTGCCCATTTTAAACAAATTAAGAGAAAAAGCTCCACCAAACAACTCTCAATTTTTGTGGATTCCTTTAGCTTGTACTTACACTACTGGAAAAGTTCTGAGCATACTTTACATGGGGATGGGACGTTATAAAGCCTCTTGAAGGTCTTCAGCGTTATTCACCATTCTGTAAGACACAAGGAAAAGATACAACAAGGTTACAGATGTCTAGGAAAGGCAAAGAGATTCAATCACATTATTCTGGATAATCTGTAACTAATCCAGACCAGCACAGACTCACATACTCCAGTGCACATGGTACATTCCTGAGGAGAAAGTTGCAGTCTGGTGGTGTAATCAGTCCAGAGACAAAAATTTAAATTACAATTGATTTCTTTTGGCCACAAGTAAATTAATCTATGCAATCATTTAGCCTTATGACAGTTACCTACCCTTTTAACTCACAAAAGCTATTAAAAGGATTATTTGGCTAACATCCGCAGAGAGCTCGGGAGACAGGTACTATGTTCTGAGAAGGAATGACCTAATGGAATTTTCTTTAGCTATCACTGCTGATGACTTTCTCCACAAACTAACATGGACTCAAAGTGCTTCAAAAGTCAAACTATTAACCAAACAGAAAAGCAGGATTTTATATCCAAGGAGATGTAAAAAGAGGTAGAGAGAATATTTACACTTGAGGCTGTGAGTGCATGTGAGCTGGGATAGAAAACACGTGGCTAGAGTAGCACAGGGATTTGCATGGGATAATCTCAATCTCCTCAACTCCATAAAGAGATGCCTGTAACATTGGCAACCACAGATTGCTATCCATGGATAGCAATCATGGATGGACACATCTTGGCTCTTCTCAGTGGTTAAAAGTGATCATGACTCTTCCTCCATCACACCTACTAGAGACTTTGGGGAAGAACTGCACCTGTGCCACATGGAATCCTCTGGGCATACACAGAATGACAGAATGGTCTGGGTTAGAAGGAACCTTGAAGACAATCTTATTCCAAAGTCCCTGCTATAGGCAGGGACACCTTCCACTAGCCCAGTGCTACTTGGAAAGTCCATCCAACCTGGCCTGCAACACTTCCAGGGATGAGCAGCCACAGTTGCTCTGGACAACCTGTGCCAGTGCCTCACCCCCCCCCCAGCCACAAATTTCTGCTCAATACCCCACCCAACCTTGCCCTCTGGCAGTGGGAAGCCATTCTCCCTTGCCCTGTCCCTCCAGGCTCTTGTCTCAAACTCCTCTCCAGCTCTCTTGGAGCCCTTTTAGGCACTGGAAGAGGTTCTAAAGTCTCCTCAGAGCCACCTTTTCTCCAGGCTGAACACTCCCAGCTCCCCCAGCCTCTCTTCATAGCTGAGGTGCTCCAGGCACAGAGCACCTCCACAATCTCCTCTGGACTCACTCCAGCAGGTCAACATCTTTCTTGTGTCGGGTTTCCCAGACCTGGATGCAGAACTCCAGGTGGGGTCTCACAAAAGTAAAGGGGGAGACTCCCCTCCCTTGACATCATCAAGTCCAACCACCCCCCAAGCACTGCCAAGCCTGCCACTAAATCCTGTCCCCAAAGTGCCACATCTACACAGTTTTTTTAACACCTCCAGGCATGGTGATACCATTGTTTATGTGGGGTTTTTCTTTTCGTTTTCCTTCATGAAAAATCTTAGGAACTTTCAGGGCACCAGGCTGGGCTGAATGAGCTTTCCCTGACATAGAAGCACTTAGCTTCCAGCCCTCAGAATTCCCGGGGGGGTTTCAGCCTGCCCCTATGCTTGCTCCCACCCAGATGTGGCCAAGGAAAGCACTGGGTGTTTTCAGGGAGGGGAGCTGCTCAGAGCTGGCTCCCAACAGTTCCAAAACAAGTCATTTGGCCCAACAAGTAGGTCTCGAGCTGCCTCTTTCTCTCCAGGAAAGGAGGTCACCAAGGCAAGGTCACAGACAAGATGAATGGTCCCAGCAGACTGTCACAGGTCATGGACTCTGGCCTGGGAGAGAACCAGTGACACCAAACTACTGATGGATGGAAGAGCCAAACACTCAGGTCCCTCCTAGTCAGCCACTCTAAACCTTTTCAAGATAGTTCTACACCAAAACACTTCTCTGTTAAATCTCTTAACTGCATTTTAAACATACTCCCCGAGGCAGTCACAAAAAATATGAGATCATGCTCTTGACTTCTTGCCAAATTTTAAAACAGAGAGCTGTTTTGTTTTCCAAAGAGGAACAAATTAGACTTAAATATATACAAACTTTCTGAAGGTCAAAGAGGCTAATGATAGAGAACTGGATTCCTTAGAGAAAGATCTGCTTCCAGGGTGAGTATGGAAGAAGCAAAGAAGAGAACCCAGAGAGCAAACAAAAGACCACCTTCCATCACCATGAAACAGAATTAAAATTGGAACAGGAGGAGACAAGAGAGGCAAAGAAAAGGCTGCAGTAACTCAGGTTTTGAGATGACAAAGGCAGGAGGATGATATTAGTGATAGCAATGGAAGAGGAAAAAAAATGGTACAGACCTCAAATGTTATAAGTGAAGAGGATCTAGACCAAATTTGGGATGCGAACAGAGGCAGAAGAGCATCTTTTCCAAGAGACTCCAGATCTGTGAGTGCAGACAGAGGATGATAGCATTCAGCAGAAATAAACAGAAGAGAGTTCATGAGAAAATAAGAGAAATCCCCTGGTTTTGCTACGTTAAAGGTTGAGGTGACTTTATTACAATTTATTATGCAATCCCAAACTGCCCCAGACAGAGCCAAGCAGTATGGAAGCAGAGGGAATCCTTAGGTCTGGCTTGGGAGCTGGACTGGTGAAAAAAAACGCAGTTACACAGAAAGAGGAGGAAGCTGGTGCTTCCTATGGCTGCTGCCAGCGCTGAGAGGTGGCTATTGAATAGGGTTACAAATAGGCTTTGACTCCACACTGGTCTAAAGTTCAGTGGCACAGAAATACCTTCCCCACCCCCATCCACACATGAAGGTTGCTTAAATGTTTTTGTAACTTAAGGACACATCAGACAGGAAACAAGCAAGCCCTCACCTGTGAATTTAGTCAAAAAAATTCAATCCCAACGAACACAACTTCCGCCACCAACAAATTATGACTCAACTCATGAATCAATATCCCTCTTCCCCTCAGTCTCCTTTTAGCATAAACCAAAGCACCAAAGCAGGTTTGAGCCTAGCAGCAAAGGCAGTGTCACCACTGTCTGTAGTGATATGCAAGGAAGAACTCACAAACCTTTGCCCTTTTCGCATTATTCATTAAATAAATTATCTGCTCACATAGGGAAAACACTACCCGTTCCCCTTCCTACTTCTGGTACAGACAATAAAAAAAGTCACTATTAATATGGAAATCATGGCTGCAGTTGTAGGATCGGATGTAATGAACAATCTTGTCCCCAGCTTAAGTTGCTATAAAGGCAGCTTAAATTTACAATGGATGAGTCTTCATGGCAATCTGTTTTTCAGATATTAAAAATCTCATTTTCTCGGTGCCAAGGACAAGTGGAAGTGTGAAGCACTGGAGTATCAAACTCTGCATTTGTCTCACTTGACATGAAATCATTCTCATTTTAGTTCCGATTTTTAATACATTCTTGGGATCCACTTCAGTTTTCTTCATTTCTCAGTGTATGCAATTAAATGTTTTCAAGTTTAGTTCCCCCTGATCCACACCACCCTGCAGAACCAAGGAGAAAGTCACTTGGTAAAGACAAGGCTGATATCACTTATTTGGAAGAGAAATTCATTTTCCCTTTTAATTTCTGAGTGACTCACATAGTTAAAAAAAATGCCATCCCTTTGTGTTTCACTAATACCTTCCTCGGTAAGTTCTTAAAAAAGGGTTTTATAAATAACAAATTAAAAGCTTTTGTCCTTGGGGAAGAGAAACATCACCATTTTGTCATAAGTAAAACATGAACAGAGGGGCTGAATTCCTGGCTTAAAGCCACACAGGGCAGTATCCATGGCTGAACATGGAACCTGCCTGAGGACACAGGTCCCACTACTACAATTATCAAGCTACTGAAATGCAGAACCACCAAGTTTCAGCCTTGCTGATAAACCTGGTACACTGGATGGTGAAGAAACTCAGCCTTAAGAATGAAGTTTTACCACTGCTGAAGTAACAGCAAAGGCAGATTCCCAACCCCAGGCAAAATTACAAACCAATCCTCTCCTAGAAATAATCTAAAACTGAAGTCCTTCACTCACTGTACAGCTTAGGGTCTCTAGGAAATGTCAGGTCTTCTGGATGGACTCTGTGTGTGCATACACATGTCTCTAAGCACATGCCACGGGAGGTTCAGGCTGGATATCAGGAGAAATTTCTTAACTGAACGGGTTGTTAAAACTGGAACAGGCTGCCCAGGGAGGTGTCCAAGAAACAACTGCATGTGGCACTTGGTGTTCTGGTCTAGATGACAAGGCGGTGATTGTAGGGGTCTTGTCCAACCTAAATGACTCTGTGATTCTATGAGCTTCCCTACAACATGGCCAGTGTGAAGTAAAACACATCTTTCACCTGTCTTAACTTCTGTCCACAGGATATCTTGCCTCAAAACTGGCAAGACACCAAGGATCCATCCACTCTAGTTGATTCCAGTGGTTAATCACCTTCTCCATTACAAATTTGTACTTGATGTCTACTTCGAATGTGCCTGGCTTCAGATTCCAGACAGTAGCCTTCCTTTGCCAGCTCAGAATCCTTTATTCCTGGGAGATGTTCAGACAGACTGTTATTTACCCAGTGCTTTTAAAACTCCAGGTACTGCATTTGTATCAAAACTTAAATTCATCCGGGTACACATACAAAAGTAGGACTAGTGTCCAAAATACTAAAGCTAATCTAGGACTCTGTAGCCCATTTTCCCAAAATAGGTCTATTAGGGGAAAAAAAAAAGCTCTGCCATATGACTTGAGGATGTGTTTCACTTGTGCCCTGGAAAGCAAGGTTAGGAACCTTCTCCCAGCACTGCCACCTCCTGAGCACACACTGTGGCTTGGTGATGTGCAGCATCCAGTTTCATGTGGTCAATGCAGTGCAAAGCAAAGAGAAGAACCACAGAATGGGTCACGCTGGAAGGGACCACAGCAGGTCATCTGGTTCAACCTCCCTGCTCAAGCAGCCCCAGACACATGGCACAGAATTGCATCCAGACAGT